CGCGTGATAAAGAACCCGCATTCTGTTGCGAATAGGTCAGTACTATATGACCTCTGATGTTTTGTACATTCATTTTCTTGTGTCGTTATTATTTACTTGTGCGAATATATCACAAGGCCTCAAGCACATACTTATTTGTGGAGGGATAGGAGTACGAGTTGTTCATTTAGGGAACTGAAAGGATTAGCATATGAATAATGTAGGTACACACACACACACACACACTCTCTCTCTCTCTCTCTCTCTCTCTCTCTCTCTCTCTCTCTTCTCTCTCTCTCTCTCTCTCTCTCTCTCTCTCTCTCTCTCTCTCTCTCTCTCTCTCTATCTCTCTCTCTCTCTCTCTCTCTCTCTCTCTCTATTATACAGATACCTATTGTCGGCATGCTTTCATAACGACAAAACTTGACCATCACAGCCAAACTAGTAGTGTGTCGCCAACGGTCCATCCAAGGGCGCCAAACCCAAAACTTTTTTTTCTGTCGATTTCGTTTCAGCCGCCATCTTGAGACCAACAAAGTCACGTGCATGGCTTCCCAGAATTACGTTATCAAATTCGTCTGGTATTACTAATAGAAAAGTTTATTTTTACCTACATTTTAAATGATGACTTTAATGCTAACAAAATGTACATGACATTCTTTTCTTGACAATCACAATTCCACAGGCTAATAATTCTACTTGTCATGCCCCATGCCACTCATAAGTATCCCTAGGCCTATTTCATTTCATAACATTTTATTGCTTTATCGATTAAAACAGAATTGAAACACGTCTAGGGTCCCATTCCATTTTCAGGAATCACCCTTAGCGTTGGACTTATGACTGAGGATGTCGGCCGTTTGAGGATATCCTGTAAAGAAAGGGGGGGGGGGAGGGGCTCTACAATGACATTTAAATTTATCATTGTCGATTTATTATTAAAAAAAGGAAAAGAAGAAAAAAAGCGAAACGACTGCGAGAGATACGTGACTATTTTATTTATCAGATCATTTTTTTCTCTATGTTCGTTCTTATCAAATGGATCTGATAAGATAGCAGGTCATATGATGGTTAATCCTTTCTTTTTTCGTTGGTTAAGGAAATGGGTTTACCTGCCAAGTAACACATGCCTTTTGTTGTTTATTTGCTGGTTTTTTTTACACTCAAAATAGGAAAAATATAACTTGGTGTTTCTTTCTACTCTCCATTCGTAAGTTACCGATATTCATTTTTCAACAAATTTTTGGAGGTATTTCATAATCATAAAAGTTATTATTGCTATCTGGAGCAATAAAGGCGATGATTAAGAAGAACGAGACCAATCCAAGAAAAATATATTACTGATGGAATTTAGACAAGTTACCCCGCAAACAACATACAAGACACTGGAAAAAACAGAAATGCACAGAAACAAAATAGAAATGCTTAGCAATGAAATACAAGCTAAAGAAGCTGGTGAACACTTAAGAACCTGCACTCATAACAAGGAAACAAAAAAGAAACAAAACAGAAGCAAAAAAAAAAAAAAAAATTCATCATAGAGCATGTGGGCGCGGAACAAGGACGGAACCTCGTTATGAGAAAAAACTATACAGCAAGGAAAAAATATATATATATACTTCACAGACGGGCAGAGTATATATCAAACCTGAACAGAATGCATAGTTAATGAGAAATCTGGAAAGGAAAAATCATATATTCAATAAAGGAGAGACAGTTGAGATACAAGGAAAGAACTGGAAAGCGTGGTTAGAACCGGAAAATCTTAAGGCATGCGGGTAAACGAGGACTGACCTACATTAAGAGCTTAGATACAAGGACGAGAGAGAGAGAGAGAGAGAGAGAGAGAGAGAGAGAGAGAGAGAGAGAGAGAGAGAGAGAGAGAAGAGAGAGAGAGGAGAGAGAGAGGAGAGAGAGGGAGAAGGAGAGAGAGGGAGAGAGAGAGAGAGAGAGAGAGAGAGAGAGAGAGAGAGAGAGAGAGAGGAGAGAGAAGAGAGAGAGAGAGAGAGGAGAGAGAGAGAGAGAAGAGATGCTTCCAATGAATATTTTATTTCTCTAAAAAGTAGACTGGTCTTCGTGTTATGGAACTATATATATACACCATATTGCATTCGATCTAATATGGAAAATGAAATAAGACAAATAATGTTTATATTTATCTTCTCGCAAGGTTACATAGTTTCAAACAAGACTTACATCACCTTGCTTTTAATAAATACCCTTCGTTGCTTCCGGTCGTCATAGCAGCAAAAAAAATCCAAGGAAAGTAGTGTAACCACAATCCGTGACGTCATACATAAACGACTGATTCATCCCTTTTCCGTGAATTGAAGTTCCTGTTTTTCACGTATTGCCTAATTCTCACGTCTTTCACGCATTCAAAATCTAAAGGATCCTTGTTATGTGGGTGATGTGTATCTATTTCCTGTCTATATTTCGTATATCTAATGGAGATTAGAAGTATTGTGGTGGATTTGCGTATTTTTGAATGGAATAGATTATAGAAGTGACCAGCACTCAATATAGAGAGATTTATTGTTTTAAAAAACACGAACGCTTGATGACGTCACATACCATCTCTACCAGAAAATCCATACGCTAAAACACTCTCGTTACCAGAAACATACTTCCTGAAAAAGCACATAGAAACCAACGATAAAAATATTCCCAACCAAATTGGATAAAAGCCCCCCAATGAAGTATGTGAGAATCAGCGCAAAATACCGAACGTACGATGACGTCATAGATATTTTCCCCGTAGGATGAGTCTCGATAAACAAAAGCTCAGGATCTTTTCCTCCTCGCAGTCCTCGCTGGTTTTCACTTCGTTGGCGTGGCGTGAGAGCTCCTAGAGGTAAGGGCGTCGAGGGGGAAGTGCTTAGTCTCGGGCACAGTCGTTGTAAAGGGAGTTTGGGGCGTGACGTCGCTCGAGAAGAGAGAGGAAGACGAGGAAAGGGTTGACGTCACAGTCACGGGGTATGGGGTCGAGTGTATGTGCGAGTAAACGTGTAATTTGACTTCATTGAAGTGTGTGGCGCCGCTGAGGACAGTGTGTTTTATTCGCCCGCGGAAGTAAAAGACTGGGAGAATTATTTGGCTGATTAGTGAGTGATTTTTAAAGAAAGAGGTAAAGTATATAAACTGAAGTGGAGGAGGACGTGGTGAGAGGTGAAGTCAGAAAGACGTCTGCTAACATTTTTCGTTTTGTTCTCTTCGTGATTCGTGGCTTTTTAGGGAAATTATACCTCCCTTGTTCAGTTTCTAAAGAGTTGCTGTGATTTGCCAATCTGTGAGATTTGTGTTTTCTTTTTTATTCATTTTTACTTGACGTGTTTTTCGTGCTTGAAGTGCCTGTTGCCAAGCAGAGGGGAGGAATGTACTCAAAACGGGATAAGTGGATTGGATCATCTTCTTGCTGTTAAATTGCGATTGTTGGATATTTTTACTTGGATGTAATCAGTTAGTTGAGCGAATAAAGCCTGGATGGTTGAGTAATGAACATGTCATTTATTTTGATGGTCATTCCTAGCTCACAGTGTCAGCAAATAGGAAATATTAGGTACTACTCCCCTGATATTGGTGTCAAGTATTTCACAATGTTTCATCTCATGATCAGTTGGATAAGATTAACTTGCAGTTGCTAGTAAGGGTAGAGGTTGAGACCGCGACGCGCGTAGATAGAGGAAAATGGACACCGCCATCTTATAGAGCGGGGAAAAAATAGAAGGGGAGAGCGTATAGTTTGAAGATGCACCGGCCTTATAGTCACCGCTAAATGACGAAAATATTAACGCGCGGCCGCCTTTCAAATTCAAAGTCGATGAGCTTGTTTACCTTGCGAGGAAAAACACGACACTGACCCACGAACGCATTTTTGCGTTCGCGAACTAGTCCGTGTATCATTACGCGCTTGTCAAAACGATATTTGGCTAATTATCTGTGTCTGCTGGTACGCATTTATACCTTTAAAGTCTTTTAGTAATGTTATTATATACTTCAATTGCATTTTTTTATATTTATCTATACCCTCATATCGAATCCTGCGCATCGAGTGTTTCACACTTTCTTGCGCCAGCCACAAGTTGGACAGCTCACCAACCCGCTCATTTCGAGATTGAAAGCCGGTGAGAAATGTTGCGTTTCCAGTGTTGTGTTGATTCTGGGTTCTTTTTTAAGACCTTTACAGTGGCATCGAAGAATAATTCGACTTCAGTAACCATCCCAGTTTTATATCTGAGCCCATCAAGAGCTCCAAAGGACGAAAAAGGTGATTAAAATCGAAGCAATCCCAACAGTACAAAGAAACGAAAGTTTCACGTTTCCGGATATAAAGGTATTTGGTTTATTATTTTACGGTGTGAATGCAGCTCTGTCTTGCCGTACATACCGTGGTGGAGAGAATGTGTCCTGGGGGGTGTTGGGGGCTTGCCCCCCATCAACCCTCCCCTCGGGCAGTGCCCGAAGGGCACGCCTAGTCACGGCAATTTATATTGATATATTAGGTTGGTTGGTTTATTGGTCAATACGTTTTTGGGGGTTGGAACGTGTGAATTCCCGTAGATTTTTTGCCGAAATGTGGGTTGGGTTCCCGTAGAGTTTTTTATTTATTTCGCGTCAGTCCGTAAACTTTCAAAGATGGCGGTTACATCCGTAGAGTTTCATTGGCCGATTTTAAGCGCTTTTTGTGCTAGTTTTACGCATTTTTGATCGTTATTCTTCTTATTTAAGCTTGTTTTACCCCATAATTTCCCTGATATACTTCATGCCCTCCCCTGCTAACGGGACTATCAAATCAAGATCGTCGATGGAGAAATGGTACTCGATCTCCTGAACGATTCATTCGCAAAAGAAACAACGCCGAAAATCGATGAAATCATAGGATTTCATGCAGAAAAACATCATTTTTTTCGACTTAGTCTCTGCGAGGGTGCGTCGCGGTCTTCAACAATTACCGAAGTTCGGAACCATCAACGCCACATGGTTGCTGAGAGTCAACAGCTGTCTCCTGAGCATCTATCTAT